AATTTTACTACAACACAAGGAACATAGAAAATCATAGAAAGATACCTACAATGTGAGCAAAACAATAAAATTTTCGGAATACATCTATATTATAGCAAGAGCAACTTGATTAAAAAGCTAACTGTGACCTAACTGGCTCATGTCTTTGCAAAAGTCTGCATTGGTTGTGTTAATTTGCCTTACTTCTCAAAGATATTTTGCAACATGCAATTAGGAGTCTACTTACTAGTGAAACATGGTATCCTCACAGTGATGTAGGTTAGGAACAATCATTACTCAGGTTTAAAATATCAACAGTTCTGATGAAATGAGAGGGAAAGAAAATTTTCAATAAAGAACAAACTTGCATGTAATCATTTAGAATGATGGACAAAAGATTTAAAAAAAAAAAAAAGAAAGCAATTCTTACATATTTTAACCTGGAAAAATGTCAGTTCAGAAGATTCAGTTGTCTTCTTTTTTTAGATCTTTTTCCATTTGTTTTTGAATGCGTGTACATAAAGCATCTCAGAACAAAGAGAGCTGAGAAAGAATAATAATGTGCAAACTGCTCTTTGATGTTGAATGGGTCACACATCAAGAAGTCTTGTTTGTCCAGAATCCAACTTTAACAGCAGCCTGACTGAATTCACATGTAATTAAAATGTCACCTGGGTGTATTACTGACTGCTGAGGGATTGGTCAAGGCAGAAAACTTCTTACCTATTTTGTCAGCAACATATTGTTGTCTATCTGTTCAATTGTTTCTTAATAGCACCATGTGTAGTTGCCACAAGAATGTCAGAAATAAGTGAAGTGAAAACAGTGCTCTTTGCAATTTTTATTACACTTCTGCTTTTGAAATCACACTGGATTTTTGCCAATCAGATGCAAAGTAAGCTTTGAGAAATCAAAGAATACCTATCACTCTAGTAGCATGGTCTAAATATGCTCGGAGGTTCACAGCCTACATCTGTTGGCAAATAGTGGATATTACACATAAATATCCTTTATAAGAAATGTATCTTTGTTTAAAACTTGACTCTCATAAACAAAATATTTCAGCAAAGTAATGTCAAATTGGTAACAGTGATAAGAAGCAGTTTCCATATGCCACTTATTCATATTTCCATGAAAAAAAAAAAAAAAGAAATTGTTGACAGAGCTAAAACATGTTTGGCTTCTAAAGAAGAAACCATATTGGATCTTTCAGCTACTTCCTTTTCAAGAACATTAAAGTGAACTCTAAAACATTAATGGAACATCTAAGGAAAAGGAATTGTAAGAGAAGATTTGTGAAAAGAAATGATAATAGTTGTGGAGATCTTTAAGTTAGATAATCTTTTCATTACATAGCTGGCTTGAAGACATTAGCCTTACTGTTGCCTGTAGCAATGTAACACTTGCAATCATCCTTTGTACAAATGATATCAGGCTATTTTACTCTCTGATTTAAAAAGTGCATGTATCTTTCACACCAAAAGTTGTTGTTAACAAAGAAAGGAAATATTGGCAACAGATTTTGAAGTTAACTTCAAAGTCTTCATTTGGCTGATAAGACTTCTCTCTCAACATTTTTCTCCCACTCTTCGTTTTGGCTCTGAAACTTATTTTTTAACTATTTGTCTTTTTGAGGTTTATTAGATTTTCTCCTTTCCCGCTGCTAGAATTCCTCCTGACTATTAGCACAGAAATCCTTCTGAAGATTCTCTCTTTTTCAAAACTAACTTCTTTTCTCTTTATTAGTCCATTAGTCCATGGTCACAGTCACGGTCCTTCTACTCATCCACCTGCTTGTATTAGAAAACAAACATCCTATTTCTCTGAACTGGAAATTGTCTAGAGAAAATATATTACTAAATGCAGAGAAACTGCTGTATATTTGATGATATATTTGAACTGTAAAAGAATGACTGCTCTTTTTTAATGCTTGACTGAGCAACAGGAAAATCACTATATTTGAAACAAGCAAACAAACAAAAGCTTTTTATTCTACTAGGCTGATATACACTAAGAACATTGTTTTATCTTTTTAAATTTTTATGAACCTTCAGTTTCTGTAGCTCAGATCAAAGAAAATTTGAGAGCATTTGATTTTACTTTTCAACAGAGAAAGAATTAAGTTAGATTCTTTTTCCATTGGAATGGGAAGTTTGTGCTAATGTGGATTATGTTGAGAGGGAAATCTGGACAGGAGGGGAAACAAACCATCAGGCAAAGGGAGAGGCATGTTCTGGGGGTCAGCCTCTTCTCTCGTGTCATTAGTGACAGAGGGACCAGAGGGAATGGTTTCAAGCTACAGCAGGGGAGATTCAGGCTGGACATTAGGAGGTATTACTTTTCAGAAAGGGTGGTCAGGCACTGGAATGGATGCCCAGGGAGGTGGTGGAGTCACCGACCCTGGGAGTGTTCAAGGAAAGACTGGATGTTGAGTTGAGGGACATGATTTAGTGGGAGCTATTGGTAATAGGTGAATGGTTGGACTGGATGATCTTTTAGGTCTTTTCCAACCTTGGTGATTCTATGATTCTATGTTAGACTTGTGAGGAATAACCATCTGCAGCCTCTTCAATTCAGTCACTTTTGGAGATACTTATGTATTTATAGTATATAAATATATTTACATTTACTTATAAGTGTTCTCCAGATATCTAACTAAGCTGCCTAGCAAGGCCCTGAACTAGAGGACAAGGCCTTACAGTCATTCCGGGTCAAGTATGACAAGAAAGAAATATTCCAGATCACAGTAACTTCAGATGTTCTCAGGAGGAAAAAAACTCTGAGTTCCAGAAGTTCTTAAAAGATAGATTCTCTAATGCCTATGGCAAGAATTGCAATGATTTAGGAACATCAGTTCATAATGACCCAAATGATTATCTCAGACATGTTTTGATTTTTTGTAACCTAGTTAAAATCCAATAACTTTCAGACATCCAAACCAACCATCTCTCCAGGACTATTGTCAGCAATTTATTCCATGCCAGCTGGCAAAGCAAAGGCTACACACCTCAGTCTATCTGTCCCTTTCTTTTCTCTTGAGCAACATTTCTCATGTAGTATGGGGAAACCAGACTAGTTTTTAAGGACAAATCCAACTTAATCAAAGTAAACACACTAAAATTTCCAATGACCTCAGTGGAACTTGGACAACCCTTTACCTTCCTCTGTCTTTGAAATATGAGTGATGAAGTTCTCCATGGCTTTGCGTATCTTTTCTGCCTCTAAGTCTTGTGCTTTTTTAAGGGTTTACAGACATCCTGGTGATTTGCTGCTTCTCATTGCATTGTTTTATTGATATGGTTTTATTAATCTATTAATCTTTTAGATGATTGCTTAGCACACTCAATTTGTTTCCCATTACTACATGAATGTATGAAAATACATGGCAGTCTGGAGCTATCCCTCCGTGGAATTTACACCTTAACTCAACAGTCAAGCATTGCTTGCTCCAGTTCCTGGGGAAAACAAGTGAGTGAAAAGTCTATACAAACTACATACAGATTCTTCACTGGGAAAAAAAAAAAAAAAAAAAAAAGTCAATAAAAAGAAATGCTTATATTTCATGCTTTTGTTTAAATTGTACTGAAATAATCTTGGAATATCCATGGAAACATAATATTTTCAGACTTAAACCGTAAGAAAGCTGTAAATGGCTATGTGAATGCAAAACAAATGTTTAATTCCTTCAAGCAGGAAAGTCACAAAAATTAAGCTTCAACAGACATGGAGTCAATAAAGATCCATGACTACACATATCCCTAACTTGATATTTCTGATATTACATCAAATGAGGCAGTGTTGCCTGCCCCATTCCCTACATCCCTCATCCAGACACTATGGATGTAATCTATCAAAGTGCATTGATTTCGCCTTAAACTGTCTGTAAATGCAACAGGAAAAATACTGCTAAATTTTACAGTCTTTTAGCAGCTGTTGCATGATGACCTTGTTCAGGTTTACATTTCTCTTTGCCTGAGTACAGACATCTGTCCCTGCTGTAATTCTGACGTGATAATATAACTGAGGACTGATCAGCTATCAAAGGTATCTGAATAGACCTAATGGAAAAAGTATTCAGACTGCTTAGTGGAGTAGGCACTTCCATCATGTAACTGTTTCTCTTATCTGTCCATAATACCTGTTCAGGCTACATCCAGCACTTCTGCTGAGTGGTGACCTCCCTCCTTCAGTATCTGGACAGGTTTTTGTGCAGTTTGGTTTTCCAATTTGTTCTTATTTGACTCACCTAGCTTGGGAGGAAATTAGATTAAATCATTTTCTAAATTGTATTAAGTAGTGTGTATCTCACATTTCCTCCCTGCACAATGACATCCTTTGGTTTTATTTGGATTCACAGATATGCTGATCAACCAAATCCCTATCAACTGATATCCCTAACCGAAGTCACAAACAAGTGATTCTTCTAAGGAGACTCAAGGCATTAATGAGGTGCAGTGGCTGACTATTAGTGCACCCTTATCCCCAGTAAATGCAGTTAAGTGAAATGTTCAGTCTTATGCATGACCACTGAAACAGATATTCATCATTTACCGCACCAAAATACTTCTTTCATTTCCTTTTTTAAATGTTTAGGGGCAAGGCTTTTCTCTATTCATATTGATTATATTGTAATAAGCATAGTAAGCTTCTGATCTTATTACTCGATATTATTAAAAGAGTAACTTCAGAAAAGTGGCATTGTTAGAGTATTACTATTTGTGATAAAAATCTTTAATATAATATACTAGAAAAAGACCAAGACCTGCTTCAGAACAGCCATTCTCCAAATTTTAAGTCACTGGATTGTCAACTAAAAAAAAATTCTGCAGAATATCATATTCTCTTATCTGCCCTCTTAGCTACAAATATTATGAAACAAACAAACAAAAAAACCTATTAAATACTCTTCCTGTCTTGAGCTCCAGACCACAGAGCACTGAATCTAGGGCTGCAGTTCATAAAATACTACCCATTAGTGTTTGAATTTTTTCAGGAATTGGCAATGCTGGACTTTTAAGAGGATTTTAGTCATCTCATATAGTTCTTATGAGTCCGTTTCTTGAAGAAGATCATTGTGTGAGTGAAAGAAGAAATTATTATCCTCCCATTGCCAGTAAGTGTTACTAACTAAAATGTGATGTGGTTTTAAGTTCTAAGACATGTACATTACTCTCCAAAAGCAATAAAAAATCACAAAAATAAAGCAGAGGGCGTGAAGTGAAATAATTGACATTTTTGTATAGGTGGGATAGAATTGAGGTACTTTGACCTTTGCTTAACAACTTGATTTATTAATCATTTAGCCCCTAAAAAATTATGATTCTGAAGAATTTTCATGTTGCTTTGAGGTGAAGGAATAAATTTAGACTTTGAGCCTATGAAAACTACTCAGAAATTTTCTATATATTTCCCAATAAAACCACCTAAGTGATTTGAGCCAGTTCTGAAAATGAAGCACTGATATATGTATCTTACAGACATTAAATATTATTTAGGGTCTAAGTAATGCATCAACTTATTCTTTCTCCCAGGTTCCACAAGTTGATATTCTGAGATATGTTTTCTAAGAAAGGTTTAATAGCTTACTGTAATGTCAAAATTCTTCTAAAAAGATATCAGTAATGGTACCATCTGCAAGCTGTTCCATGTGTATCCAACATAAGAAAATGGTGTGAGAGATAAGGATACTGTTATAAAGAATGGACAACTTATATCACGTGTACATTACAGATAAGGAGAAGTTACTAGACAGAAACACAAAGAATGGAAGGAAAGATTCTAATAACTGGACTCAGCTGGGCTTCTTTACTGTGGACATTTTAGAACATATGCCTTAATGGACATAATTCTTGGCTGAACTGTACGTATAACCAGACAATATGAATTCATTCTGTAGTTTGACCTTTACACTCGACATTAGCAGAAGTGTATATAAAATTTTTGCCAACAAATCAATGCTAGAACAAAATCACAGTTCTCACTTCTCTCAATGCTATTGTTAGAATCTTAACGAGCAACTGTTTGATATTACTTTTTTATAGATATCAGTATTATTTTATTATGTTATATTATGTATGAAAAGAAATTCCCTAAAAGAATTCCAGGTCTGGGGTGTATCTGGTACTTAGTTTATCTTCTTTGAAAGTCTTCTCAAGGGCTGTGCCTGATTGATAGGTTGCCGCCCATAATGAACTGAACATAAGACACATCATCATCCCTGCACACATTCTCTTCTTTCAACATGTGCTTGGTCTGGGATAGTTATTTGGCAAGAATAAAACAGATAAAATGAAAGAATGACTTGTAAAAATTTTGAAGCTCCAACTTAACGCTTTTTGTTAAAAACAATAGAAAATGACAAAAACTGTTCAAACTCACTGGAACATCAAGTAGAAGAATGAGAAGAATCACTACCAATCATTGTTGATCTGTATTAGCCATCATATGCTGATGAGGTTAATCCAATGTAAACTAATGAAACTTGCATGACAGCAAGGTTTGGGAAAAGGTTCTTAATTAAACAAATTTCAAGAAAATCTTGCAACCAGCAGTGTTATTTTTGAGCCATAAATCATAAAGACAAGCATCACGTGTTGTCCAAGAAAATTTCTCTGAAAGTAATCTGAAATAAGTAGAATTGAAAATAACTAATTATATGTATTGAAATATATATCTAAAGCTCCCCCTTCATTCCCCCGATCCAAATAAATAAAGAATAGCTAAATTTCAAGAAGTGAAAAACTGAAATTTTACAAAGAAGAATAACTAAAACTGTCTACTTGTCTGTTAAGTTTAATCAAATTGTTTTTCATATATGTCATAACTTTCACACTCTTTTTGGACACTCCTTATCTTTGGGCCGCTTTCACTTTGGCAAGCTATTTCAGGTATGGAGATTTAAGGGCAAGGTAAGGCACAGAACTGATGAGCACAACACGATTCTTTATTAGATAGAGCATGTAGGCATGAGCTGGGTCAAGTATGTTATTAAGAAAAAACTATGGCTTACCCCCAAGATATAGACTAAGATACACTCACAGATACCAGTACAGTCAGTATCTAAAGGGGGACTTCAAGAAAGAAAGGAACAGACTCTTCAGTAGGGTCTGTTGTGATAGGACAAGGGAAAATGTTTTTAAAGTTGAAGAGATGAGATAGACCAAATAGACCAGATATAAAGAAAAAGTTTTTTTACGTTAAGTATACTGAAGCACAGAAACAGGTTGTCCACAAAGGTGATGGATATCTCATCCCTTGAGACATTCAAGGTCAGGCCAGATGGAACTCTGAGCAATCTCCTCATTGCAGGGGACCTCAACTGGACAGTCCTTGAAGATCCCTTCCAGCTCAAACTGTTATGTGATACTAAAATTCTACTAGTGTCTGTAGGCCTGATCTCAATTGGTGAAGTGTAGAAGTGTTTATGTTCTGCTGTTCCTTCAGACAATTGATCTTGAAAATTGCTTATTTACCATGCTCTGACATGACTTTTTATTTCCACTCATATTTTCATGCTGGTATTTTTCTTCTGAATCATTAAGTATTAATTAATAACTCAGTGATCTCATTTATTTATTTATTTTTAATTATGGACAATTAATTATCTCATGTAACCTGTCACAGATTACAAATAACAGCTGCTACTCAGTGCTAGCTGTACCTAGATCACACAGCTGAGCCTTCTAAAAGCTTCTAGGTCACATTACTGCTTATGTAAGCCTAATGATACTTGGAAGTGGAAAATATCAGTCTACAATTGACCAAGACTCTTTGTTCACCCAAAACAGATGTATTCAATACCTGCATGTTTGATGTCCAAAATTTATATTTAGAGATGAAATCATATTCTAGCCATGCACATTAACCCCATACTGATCTCCTTCAGAAGAGGTCATGTCCTGATTTCAGAATTTATTGACATTATTGTGATTATAACCACAGCAATCACTACCTGCTGACAACATCAAACTATTCATCAGCAGTGAAATATTCCTGCTCAGCTGTCCAGATATGCTGCACAGCTGTTTAAGGAGCAATAACTCAGAATGTGTCAACTATGAGTACATTTGGTTTTTTAGCTACCGAACTTGAAACAGAGGAAAAATTTTTAGGCATTTCACTACAAAACCCTGAGTTTGTGTCACATTTCCTTACAAAAATACACTTCTATTACTAAATCAAACTTGTCTTTCCAAGGAGGACTGTGAATCTTTATAACAACCTGATGATATTAATCTACTGCTCAGTTCAATGTTTTTAAGCTTAAATAACTCTCCAGCTACAAAGATTGAAATACTTAAAGCTTGATTTTATCCCAGATGTTAACTCCTTAGCTTCAATAAAAGTTTGTACATTTTATGAAGTTCTGACATGCCAGAAAAGGGAAGCGTCTCAGTGGAATGGAGATGATAGACTTTTTTGATTCCCACTGTTTTTTCCATTAGGACTGGAATGCCTCAAAAATAAGAAGGAAAGATCTACTAACTGTCAACATCTATTTAAAGACTCCTTCTGCATGGACCATTTGTAGAACCATTATAGCAGGTTTGTCACTTATCAGAAGTACTGCCTAACATGAGTCCTTCTAGCTCAGATTTTGCTCCCTTATGGCTTCCCTTTGGATTGTTCAAAAGCACACAAACACAGTATGACTGAATTCAACAGAAAAAAAACAAAATACCTAAATGTAGAATCTGAAAAGAGGAAAGGAAAATCACATCTGATTTTTCTTTCAGTATTTCTATAAGTAAGACCCTCAAATGAAATTTTGGCTCCAAAAAACAATTTCCTCCCTTGCTGTGGATGTTCTCCATCCACATTTTAGTTTTCCTTATTTATGTCCAAATACTCCTAGTATGAAGCATTTTCCCTATTTTGTCTCCTGGAAGTGACTGAAAACCTGCTGCATTTATTTTCTATTTTTTTAAAGGTTCAGTTTCCTTAAAAACCCAACAAGTCATCCGAGGAATTGTAATTATCTCCTAAAAAAAAACCAAAAAACAAAACAACAACAACAACAACAAAAACACACACAAAAAAACCCAGAAATGTTCTTCTAACTGCACTTTTGCTTTTGATCAGAACAGTGATATCTCTGCACTACTGTTTACAGTTGTATTTATTAGCTTTGTTTATTTTTCTCTAAGTTAATTCTGATGGATATAATCATAAATTTTTCAAACACTGTGCTATTAAATGCAACTTCAATGAAGCAACAGAAAGCAGAAGAGAAGCTTGTGTAGTTTTCATCCTTTCATCCTTTCTTACAGATTTCTCTTTAAGGATCTCTGTACTTGAAATATTTGTTGTAATTGTAAAAAAAAAAAAAAAAAAAAAAAAAAAGATAAGGAAAAAGAAGTTGCTTTTTCTTGTTACTTTTTCAAAAAAATTATTTTATGTTGATAAGTCCATTAATAAGGTCATCAGGTCATCTAACTTCCTTGTATTCTGCTTAAATCATGCGTTACACTTGTTTTGCAATAAGGCAATTTTGTCATTGTTTAGTTGCAGGGGGTAGCTTTGTTGTTGTTGTTTTGTTTGTGTTTTTAAAATATTTTTATGAAGATCTGTGGATTTGTATGTCATGTAAATCTCCACTGAAAATCATTCAAAATGCTACTTTCAGTTGGAGAAGTTTTCACCCCAGTGCAAGTCTTAAATTCATCAAGATATCTCTAATAATTATGTTAAAATTTATTCAGAAGTTTAGCAGTTGTTCCCATAGACTCATACTTTGCTCTTATTCTATTTAGAATACTTTGTTAGAAAGATCTGAAAGGTTTGTTTAAATGAACATTCTGTGAGTTGTGTTAAAAGTATTAACATGATGAATGCCTCTTTCTCCCCCTTCATGACTTTTTATTTCATAAGAAAAAAAGTGTTCTATCTCCACACAGTACAGATTCATCAGATATTGATATGTCAGTTTTTTTGTTTGTTCTTGCAGAGGAAATATAAGGCTTTTAGAGAAGTTTTGACACCTCTACATCTTGTTTTCGATTTGAACCTGTAGACATAGTTTGCCACCTTGTGGCAAAAATGCTTTTCAGAACTGCAATGAATAGAACTACTGCTACAAGTCTTATCTGATTGGAATTGTCTCTAATATAGGACTGTAGGGAAGATAAGAGTCTTTAAAACATGGACTATCTTGTCTAGGAACAAAAATATATGAAAATTTTACTTTTAAAAAATGTCTCCATTTAACTAGCTGAAATATTCTGCTAACATCTGTAGCCAAGACAAAAGCATTTAAAAATTCTTCACACTAACCTTGGAAGTCATATATTTCATGCAGGCTATTGAAAACTAAGTAACTAAGGCAAAATCTTTCATGTATACAGATACAATCTTATTAAGGGAAAAGGTTTTTTTTATTTCTTAAAGACAGTGGTTATGAAGACCAAGGTATTATAAGCAGCTAATGTTTTAATTTGGTGGTGAAATCATAAATAAACATTGAAAAACTGGATTGCATCAACCAGAAAAAAAAATTACAGAATTATTTTATGTTCTTTACCATATATATTTTAAGCAAAATCAATAGCTTGGATAGAATTCCACATGTTCAACTAAAAATGTAGCAGTAAAAGTCCTTTCTATCTAACTCAGAACTACAATTAGAGTCAACATGTGCATCTAATTGTTAGGCAACAGAATCTACTTCCTTTTTCTGGGATGTTCTCTAGAAGGTTGAGCAAAAATCTGAATTGTGCTTATTGTGAACTGAAAGAAAGAGCCTCTAAATTTCAGTGTACCCAGAGAAGTGCTTTAAAAAGGAAGTGTGCATATAGGTCACTCTGAAAGAAATGTCTCGTATTCATTTCCATGGAAATTACAACAGATACAAAGAGCACAATAGTATTTTTTGAAAGAGCAACTTCTCAACTACAAAACAATATTTTTCAATGGTGACCACCGTTAGCTATGTATTTCCACCAGCAATGAACAAGAATGCATGCTTCACTCATAAAAATCTGCACTATTTGAGGTGGCCCACTGTCATTGTTACTACCCATTACCTCACTGTGCTGATGTCCATAGTTTGATCTCCATAAATGTTTAGCAACCATTCATTAATTCACTGGGTCCAATTCCTCCCGTGTGGAGGGATTTGATGACGCACACTTTTGCTTCATACTTAATTCCATGTCAGACACCATTTTGTCATATTACCCTCTGCTGCCATCTGTCACAAGGCAACAGGTGGAATATTGGTGGAAAGGTTGAACGTCTACTGCTGTACCACAAGCATCCAGCTTTGATGTTGTGGACCAACATAATAAAATAGGAGTCCTTACTTTTGGATCATCCCATGTACCTCTACATTATTTTACTTAATCATCCCATAGCATCAGTCCTGTCCCAGAGTTTTTTATCTTCCTATTGATATTTCCTTCCATCAGGGCAGTTACCTGAAATGCTTGTCTCTTAATTAACTAGTAATTAGTAAGAAAGAAAAGCTTGTCTTAATTGGATCAGACAGTTTGTAGTTTATTTCAAAGAATCAACAGGCTCAGTTAGCTTATGGAAAAGCAGGATTTCTCAGGTTTAATTGGAATCGGCAGCCTAAGGAAGTGGTGGAGTCACTGCCCCTGGAGATCTTCAAGAAACCTAGAGTTGTGACAGTGAGGGACATGGTTTATTGGGCATGGTGGTGATGGGTTGACAGTTGGACTAGATTATGTTAGTGGTCTTTTATAACGTTAACTATTCTAAAAATGAAAGTTTCAGATTGCCTTGCCTTATATTTTTTTAAAATGTAAATTCAGTTTTGTCTAGAACTCTTTTTTTTCTTCAGAAAATGTGGACCAATAGACTGCATCCAGGTAGTCTTTCACTGTGTGTGTGTTTTATTGCTTTTGCACCGAGGTTCTCAGGCATGAAGTAGCTGTGAAAGAAAAATTCATGTGACTGAGGTTGATTTTAATTGCCAATAGGTTCTTACTGTCCTAATAGATTAGTCACCTAACACCAGCTACAGAAGAGAATAACCAACTCTTTTGTATACAGCTATTCACACAAAAAGAAGAGCAATACTTTAAGGAAAATATTTTTCTCATTTGCAAATGCTGTGTTTTCCATCAAGTTTTTACTTTTAAACTGTAGAAGAGATTTTATAAACTACCAAAAAAAAAAAAAAACAAAAAAAAAACAAACAAAAAAAAAAAAAAACAACCAAAAAACCCAGCAATTAATGTAATTACTCTGATGTGGAAGAGTTCTGGAATGAATTGCCAAGTCCTACTGTGGCATCTAAGTCCATTTTCAGATATAAAACGTGGCTCTCACGATGACTTTTTCTCCATGTAGTAAGGAAAGTTTCTCTGTCTGTTGGAATTGAATAATGAATTCAGACCACACGGTTATTGCTCAGAGAGATATATCTTACAGTCTTACTCCTATGAATGGGTCTTTCCTGTCTCCTCACCCTTTCTGTCTGAAGATATATATCATTTACATGGCTTATTTTTTACTTGTAGATTGAAACTATATTAACATATTATCCTGTTCAATCTTGCTTTATAGGATGACGTTGCTATGCCAAGACTTATTCGTGGTTTTCCTGCTTTAGAATGCATATGCAAGCCCCCCTTTACACTTTGAGAAACAATTAATGCAATCCAAAATGAGAGGAAACTAGATGGTTTTATTCAGACTAATCTCCCCTTATCTATATGCTGGATCATATGCTGGACTTATTTTACCTGATAAAATTAAAGAAACCTTAAGATTTTTTTTCACTTGCTGCAGCCATTTTGAAAATCAGGCATAAGAAAAGCAAGTGGTTAACCCATCATTTGTCATTTTGCTATGTTCAAACTGTAAGAAGAATTCTATTTTTTTAACACTGGTAATATTGAAAATCAATTCAGAGTGGATTGATTCCTTTCCTCCCTTTGATTCCAGAAATCTTTTTGTTCCTTAGTGTCCCTTGTGGTTGGCTGTCATGCAGAGGACAGAAAATTTGATTTTTATCATATGGAATGCTTCAGGCTTAGGAGCTTCCTGATGTATGAATTAAATGAACTTAGTCCATCAGCAGATCAGTCAGTCATACACTGATGCACGCTATTATTCTTAAACATATCCTTCTTAAACATGTAACAGTAGCCATGTACCTAGGAGCACAAAATAATAACTTACTTTTCAGATCTTAGCATCCAAAAAAAGTCAGCATAACATACAGAAGATAAATATTCTAGTATCTGCAATGACTGCCAACCTGTGCTTTTAAACAAATCAATTGTAGAACAAACTCAAGTTTTTTTTTTATTTTTGGGAGATAAAAGCTACAATTTCATGTAAACTTGACTTCCAATGCTTTGAAGAAAAATAGAGAAACACCACTAAACATTACGAGCTTTCAGTAAAATTATGGGTGCCATCTAAGTTAGAAGTGCAGTAACTGATTGTATTTTTTTTTCTCCCTAAGTTACTAGCCTTTAAACTAATATAAAAGATGCTCAGCTTTTGTACGGATAAATTAGTCATCAGAAATAGCTGCCTAATTAGGAAGAAGTGTTCCTAGCAGCTGAAGTATGAACAGCTGCAGATAATGTTACTGTGTACTTCAGGTGGTTTAACCAATTTATTCTTCCCTTCATGCTTTAGCACAGTATAGAAAATACTTTGAGGAGAATAACAGATAATGTAGATAAATACTGTATAAATTTTTATCATTCAAAAGTTTTGTCTCTAAGCAAATTATCTTTGAAATCTCTAAACAATACTATGTTAATGAATTCAATTATTTGATTGCCAAACAAAATTAACAACAAGTATTCCAGACCATATAAAATCTTCAAAAAAATATATGGTATTAACAGTTGTAAGAGTTTGCATACATAACTGAAGTTTTTTCAAAATCTTTTTAACTAAAACACATTCTCACTTTTCTAAGATTCAGTAGAGTCAATGAATGCCAATGGAGTGGGGTAGATGTTAAATTACTTCAGGAGGCAGCCCAAAGACTAATTTAAACTGTTTTTTTTTAATTAAGGGAAAAAAGAAAAACATCATTCTTTCACCAAGCATTGACTGAGACTTTCATCTAAAGGTTTAGACTCAAATCTTCTATTAATTTTGTTAAACACCCCTTGTCTGCATTCCAGAAATTCCTACGAATTTTTGCCTTAAGCTAAATGACAAGTATTTGAAAATGTTAACTTCAATTTCGTGAAGATTTTTTTTCTTGGTAACTTTAAAGCCAAAATTCTGATTACTTTTAAGCATAAAATGTAGACTGGGATCTAGATAAATACACATTGGTGGCCATTTTATCTCTATAACAAATCAAACCCCAAATCTCAGGCATAAGCACTTTTAGGGAGTTCAGATTCATGTCTGAATCCAAATGCTGTGGCTTACACTCACTTCAACAGGTACAGAAGTGCTAATAGGAAATTAGAGGTTTCATCTCATGCTGTTTGGAGGGAGCCTTTGAGTGATGTGTCATCATCTCTTTCTATATTGGGGAATAACAGATGTTAAAAATCACCCAACAAGTATATTAAGGCATTTCATGTTTTGTGGGTTTCCTTATTACAGAATTTTTCAAGAATGCTTGGAATGAAATCAATAGTCTCATGTATGTAAATAAAATTGCTGTATTTGACATCTGTGTGTGAGGGTCTTGACTTGAGCAGCAAACCTCATGAAACTTCTGCCGTTAGTGTGCCCATCCACGTGTTTTCCTAATTTTGCTCTTCCATTCTCTTCCCAATGAAAATGATACTTTATTAAAAGAATTCAGCAAGGGAGTAGAAGTATCAAAAATAAATAAGTTCCTATATCTTTTGTGAAAATGGACAAGCAAGGGAACAAACCTACATGTTACGTCTCTTGGAGGAAAAAAGACAATGTCCGTGTTCATGCCTCTCCCCCACAGGAAGAGGTTTTAAGCAGATCCCAGACAAAGGGAAACTTTCAAAAGTTTTGAAAGTCAGTAAAGCATGAAGCAGAAATATATGGAGAGCAAGTTTTCCGTATTTCCTGTGGTTGTAGAACTCCTCATTTAAGTAATTAGTCTTCATGACAATATACAAATAGCTTATATAAAAAGAATGCTTCTGCTATGGTCATTTTTTATGAGAGAGCAGATGAAACAACAGTTGGGCAAGAGATTTCCCTTTATAAATTAGCCTAACAACTGCAGGGTCAATTACATCTTATCCTCCCATACAGCTGTCTGTTCCTAGCTGTGTTCTTGTTGCCTGGAAGGTATAAGAGTATGTGTTAGGTACACTGTTTTAATTAGCATTCTTGCATGAACTTATATGTAATTAATGTTAGATTTAGTGCACAATGAATCAGCTTGAAAACTGTTAGAAGGAAGGCAGCTGGATGAGATTTTTGTTTTGATCTCTTATATACCTTGAATCTACCAGGAAACTGTCTGACTTCCTTCTGATGGACACTGCCTTGTGTCTTAAGCACAGCTCATTGCTTTTCAGTCTCATTTCCTAAAAGAAGTCCTTGCTGAGCAATACATGTCGTTGGTCCTGACATGGAAAAACAATTATGATTATTTCTAGAATTTCTGAAACACGTTCTGTGAGTGATATACTTTCTCAGAAATGCCTGAGCAATACTTGGGCTTTTCAACCCTGCAATGATTCTACAATATCTCATAGTTTGCCCTAGAGTCATACAAGATGTCCTTGCTGAAAGATTTTTTGTGATGCTATGTCACTCTGCAATATTGTCTTTTCACAGTGAAAACTTGAAGTCTGCATAAGCTGATTGAAAAGTAATAAATTGATCTTTTTTCTCAATGTATCACTAAATAGCATCTCTGAGACGTGGGTTGCAGTTAACTGTCTACAGAGACATTTTCACATGGATAAACTGTGGAAAATTTATAAATAAAAGCAACCAAAGCACTATCATGCAACTTGTTTGCAGTGTAGGTTACTGGAGAGTTAATTTGCCAGTGAGTCTGTCTATTAAGACAAGTCCTAAATATTTATTCTGGAAGAAAAAGCAATAAAAATAATCTAGGGGAAGAAAAATAAATGAAAATCTTTTTTCCCACAGTGTATTTCTAATGGTGAGTTTCATCCTAGAATATTTACATTAGTAATCCACATTGAATAAAACATTAGCACATTTCATCATAATAACAATTTCCTGAAAGAGTACCTCAACACATCTTCAAATCTAGAAAAAGAAAAAGAAAAAGAAAAGAAAAAGAAAAAGAAAAAGAAAAAGAAAAAGAAAAAGAAAAAGAAAAACGGAAGGGAAGGGAAGGGAAGAGGAGGGGAGGGGAGGGGAGGGGAGGGGAGGGGAGGGGAGGGGAGGGGAGGGGAGGGAAGGGAAGGGAAGGGAAGGGAAGGGAAGGGAAGGGAAGGGAAGGGAAGGGAAGGGAAGGGAAGGGAAGGGAAGGGAAGGGAAGGGAAGGGAAGGGAAGGGAAGGGAAGGGAAGGGAAGGGAAGGGAAGGGAAGGGAAGGGAAGGGAAGGGAAGGGAAGGGAAGGGAAGGGAAGGGAAGGGAAGGGAAGGGAAGGGAAGGGAAGGGAAGGGAAGGGAAGGGAAGGGAAGGGAAGAAGAAAAGGAAGAAAAGGAAGAAAAGGAAGAAAAGAAGAAGAAAAGAAAAGAAAAGAAAAGAAAAGAAAAGAAAAGAAAAGAAAAGAAAAGAAAAGAAAAGAAAAGAAAAGAAAAGAAAAGAAAAGAAAAGAAAAGAAAAGAAAAGAAAAGAAAAGAAAAGAAAAGAAAGCAAAAAGGCTTTCTCCTTTAATGTTTCCTTCCTATCTTCTAACAGAAGACAGTGCTTTCATCTGAGCAATGGGAACTATTTTAAAGAACATTAACGGGATTTTTCTGAAAGCATGTATTATTATCCCACTACTGGTGCTTTTAGTCTCATTATCAACAAGACAAATCATTTTTATTTAACTCTATTTATACATGTGGTTGACCAAGAGAAAATGTTTTTTAAAAGACTCAATGAGGTGTTACTTAAATGTGGTTTTCAGCTTTAAGTGATTTATTATCTATAAATTGAAAGATTCAATTCCAGAAGGCTGTGGGACGCTGCACTCTTTCTTCTCAGTACAAGCTGTGTTTTAGCTAAGATTACAGCAGGTGAAAGTTCTAATATCTGTTCACCAGGCCTTATAAAATACTAGTATCTAGGATCCATTTGGTTCTCATTAGATCCAAGACTGAAGGAACAAAAACTTTTGAAGGAAGGAAATCTCCCTTCCCCAAGTAACACACCACACCACACTCCCACAGATATATCTTATAGGCAAGTACTTTCTTTCCTCAAAATATGAATAGTAGGCACAGAAACCAAACTTCACGGACCTACCACTGTTCTAAAATCCCCTGATGTTTTAATCTCATGGTGCATTACTAATTAATGATGTGTCTTATTCTTCTTTTGCCTTCCAGTGTTTTTCCTTCCACTATATTTTATAGCTCTGAATTTGTGTGGTTTCTGCTTCCTCTTTTTTCTCCATTATGTCTCCAACTATTCCTTGAAGCAGTGCTATGGCTCTCTGGCTTATTAAACTAAAGAATTATTTTCTCTAGTTTGGGAAATCACTTCAGAGGAGGCGGAGAGAGTAAATACTCTCACATTTATGACTCCTGCTTTCATTTGCTTGCTGTTTTATGTAAATGAATGTATTCAGAAATTCTTCTGCTCAGAAATTCATCATAATTCAGACCTAGGAGATTCTGTCACAATCTTCTCAATATAGCAGGCATCAGAGAGCTGACTCAGAACTTCACTATTTTCCCCCTCCAAAATACAATTTTCCATTTCTTTCTCCAGGCCTTTATATGTTTTTCTGTGACCAGAGATGTTGTCTGAGTGTGAAAGGAAAAGGAAACTGTCAGCAACTCAGGCTAGGTGAATAATTGGCAGCAAAACATTATGCTTCTCAAGTCCAGAACTTCTTTTTGCCATTATACATGAGAAGTGTAGACTTTCTGTCACCTCAATTTGTGTCTGGAATGGCAGCCTTAGGAAGGCCTTAAGGTTGAGCAGCTACTGAGATTTTTTTAATTTATCAGATAATTAACTAAGAAGGAGCCGTGGGAGTTGACGAAGAAATTGTACTGAGTATGTATCTGCATGTTCAGGTGCCAAACTCAGTTCAGTCCATCCTGCTGGTTCTTAATAAACTTTGAAGCATCTTTAAAAATTTCTTGAAGACTGACATAAGAGAGTTATTGCAATGTTCTGGAATGTATTCATCAGATTAACATCAAGGACAGAACACAGGAATATCTTTCTTTGATTATTAACTCAGTAATTTTTCAGTGGGCCTATAATATGTAAAAAGGGGGAGCAAATTTGTTTGCTAGAATGCCAAGTCATTGCAATGATTCATCCTACATAATCACTATTTTAATTGCTGTAGTTTTCCAGAGTAGATGTATCTCAGAAATATCTCAGACGGTTTTAGTTACAAGTACCCAAGCACAATTATAGTGAAAGTCGTGTAAAAGCACAGTTAACAGTAGACCATGAGATGTAGATCAGTCCAGTATAAAAATAAATTCAAGCCATCACATTTATATCCTACCATCAAAAAGATAGGTAGCAGCTGTTGAAAAACGTTAATATACATCTCAGGGATATCAAGGGTGGTTTCCTTCCATCAAAAAACACATGAGCATTTCTGTGGTTGTTTGACTTATCCATTTTAATGACCTAATATGGTTTTCTGCTTCTTATGGTGCCTTGGCTGTAGAGATTTGAGAGATGAGACAATCTCCCATGCTGCAGAAA